TCACAGAACGAAACCGAAGAGATTTCGGGAAACGAATAAATTTTTAGGTGTCCCAGAATTTATGAAAACAGCTGTAAAACCACATGGAAACATTAATTCGATTCGCTAAATTCAAAAAAATTTACCTTTATTAAATATTTATTGGTTTGTTTAACAAGATATTGTAAATTCCATGAATTCGTTTATTCACAAATTTTAAATAGGTTCTAGTCTGTTAATTTTGTATATCAGGGTAGCGGCAGAGGATCTCCATAGTAATTGAAACTACTTGGTTGTCTATTCCCTAACAGCTGGCTTGAGAACTACTGCACTAATTTAATGATTTTAGACAAAAAAATTCTTATCGATCGTTATAGGATATATAATTCACCTAAGCTAAAATGGACTAATGATGATAATTTCATTTCCTTATGGCATTAAAATTTTACTGGCAATATTTCATTAAGCTTAAACGTACCATTCGTTTAAACGAAAAATGGGTTGAACTTTTAAAATCATTACCAATTAAATCGCAAATTGACAACTTTTAATATTTATAATAAAGCTTTAGCGCAATGCAAATGAAGAATTTAGAACCAAACAGTAAAATTCAGTCACATATTGGTGAATGTTACAACATCACATATAACCTCTTCCCAAGAATTAATAACCTTCTGCATCCTCTTGACGTTATTTCTTCGAACGGCTAATCCTCCGTCTTTAATATTGATGGAATGCCTCAACTTTAATGATACAGAATTAATAAATTATTGGTATACATAATTAGCATTTACTATATTACGTATATTGAATAAAACATAATGTCACATACCAATTTATTTTTAAACTTTCGTCTCTTTTGACCACTCTTTTCTTTCCAGTTTAGACCATCGGACACACGTGGCTCCTTATCTGTTTCATATAAAAAGTGCCGTGAGTCAAGTTCAGCTAGAAGTGCTTTATAAATAATCTTAGAGTATTCTCGTAAATATTTTCCGGTCTCATGATAAGCGTCTGGGGATTGTACTGGTGACATAGTTAGATCGTTTTCTGACTTTCCTCTGGCCTCGTTATGAGCGTCTTGAGATTGTACTGGTGACATAATTCTATAGTTTTCTGATTTTTCTTTGGCCTCATTATGAGCGTTTTGAGATTGTACTGGTGACATAGTTCTATCGTTTTCTGATTTTTCCAACATTTTTGGCATCTTTTGTGAAATAAACCCAGTGTCAGGTGTTCGACTCTCTTTGTCACTTGTCTCTAGAAACGCAGCATCTGGAGTTCGAAGATCTTCTTCGTCATCATCACTTATCTCTGCATGCTCTGCGTCGGGTGTTCCAATATCTTCATCATCTTCGTCAAGTGTTCGAGTATCCTCTTCGTCATCCATCTCTCCCATTTCTTTATCAGTTGTCATGTTCTTTTTTGATTCATCACCTCCAATGCCCAGGTTACCAATAGGGTCATCAGATTGCTTATCACCAATGTTGTCGATGTCCAACACAATCTTGTGGTCAGCCAGTATTTGATTCAGCTGCGCACGTACGTCACGCTTGTTATCAACATAAAGATTCTATCAGAATATTATTCCTTTGCTTTGTTTTATCATTTATTCAATCTAATTTTTCGCTTTGCTGTCACCTACCTCAAAACTTTGCATAATACTATTTGCATTCACAGGTTCAATATCCTTCGAGCTAGGATCCAAGTTTGAGGCTTGTTGTGGTCCAACATCATCAAACGCCATCTCAGCCTCGTCAGCCCAGGATATTTTGTTATCTTGTTGCTCCTTGATCTCCTCATGTCGCGCTTCTTGTTCAGCTTTTCTCTTAGGGTGTACGGGTTTTTGAACTTTACTTTCTAATGGTCCTTGTAACAATTTATTTTGTTTTTTTCTTGATGTTTTATTTTGCGAGATTTTTACAGCATTCTCTTCAATCTCTTTTTTTCGTATTTCTTCTAATTCATTCTTCCATTCTTCATAATTAACGGTCATCCAATGACCAGTAATTCCACAAATTCCTTGAGTATTTTTAACATCACTATGAACTAAAAAGTTGTATCTATCACAAGCTGATTTCGCGTTATTAACCAAATCACGTGGAAAATATTTTTTATTTTTAGAAACTTCAATACACCGATCCTCTATTTTTTTTGTGAAAATCTTTAATACCACTGTTAGGGGAATGATAACTGATTCTTTATCAGCTGAGGAAGATTTAAAATTAGGGGATGTCGATAATAACATTTCCATTTTTTATCGTGAAGGAGTGATAACTTTGTGAAAAAGTTGAAAAGAATAAAGTAAAAAGATAAGATCAATTCAGAAAAAAAAAAGACGCGATTAAACATATATATATGAATTCATGCATTACAAAATAATGTTGTAATCTTATCTAAACAATGATGTATAAAATATAGTCATTTATGCAATAATTTTGGAAATTTTTATGTTGATATATCCCTATATTTAGAATAGTTTAATTTTCATGATACGATCGTACGTACATATAACGATAAGTGCTTATGTACAAATATTTTTGTTACTTTTTTTTTTTTTTTTTTTTTTTGAAATAGAATGACTGAATTTTTTGGTAAAAAATATGGGTCGCAGCCAATCAAAGTACATTATTTAATTTCTCTAAAGACCCGGAAATCGAAACAAAAAAAAAATGTTTTTTAAATATAGACTTGTTGTCAAATCCTTACTAACAGGTTATAGTACAGGAGCTTCTCCTTTACTAGAACTTACTGATTAATTATCTGATAATACATAGAGCTTTAAATTATATGACATTCAGTACAAAGTCTGAGAAATATGATCAGCGACATTTTAAATGTCACTGATCATATTTTTCGGAGGCTTTGTACAGAATCATATAATTTTAAATCTTGATGTATTAGCAGTACTCAAACTCGATATTTACAATTGAAATACAAGGCGTGCAACACGAAAAATATATAAAATTCTTTCATAACGGAGATCCAAATAATTTTATCAGACAGCATCAACTTGAGCAAAGGTAATTGAATTGTATTAATATATGTACTACGAAGACCCATATTTAGTTATTCCAGAGTATCTTCGAGAATTGAGCCTCATTGAATTAGGGTACCTGGCATAGAGGCACGGGCATGCCATTTGGCATGCCATAATATGGCATGCCAAATAACTTTATGCGTGCCAGGTACCCTACATTGAATAGAATTAAAACTTTATACGTTTCTCAATAGTTTACGAACGTGCATGTGTTTTCGAAAAACCAATGTATTACATATACATCTTATTTGTTGTATATACATTAATTTCTACATACTAAACATTCCGAATAAGCCGAGTTGCTAACGTGCTGAATCTATGAAACTCATGCCATATGTTTATTAATAATATTCTAAAGATGTGAGATATGCCTGAAAAATGCCATGAATGATGATGATTCGTGATAAGACAACAATAATTGATCTGCGCATGTTACATTAATGATCATTATTATCCGCTAGTAAAATTTTATTCTTTCTAATAATTTACTTTGACAAGTTTTATATAATAAACATTTTATCTGTACGTACCAAGTTGTTCATTCAGTAGAAAAAAATTGGCGGATTTTGACCAATGCTTCTAGGACTTTTCTTCCCCCATTTGGTTCTACCAAAATCAAGACCTTCCTGTTTACCATTCTCCCCTGGCCATCTTTTTATATTAACTAAAGTCCTTTTCGGTAAACCATAATTAAGTTCTGCCCAATATTCTGAGGAATAACTGCTTTGTAAAATGTCACGTATGTTGAAATAACTCGCATAGCAAATACTATCTGTTCGATAAATTCCTCTTTACTAGTAACACGTATTTTCTCATTTCCGCAGGCAACAACCTGTACGGCTATTTGTGTTTCCCTGAAACCGCTCGTTTTATAGACGTTTTTTATATATTTGTCCTGTTAAAAGGCTTTTTTTTTTATGAATACTGTATAGGTTCATTAATCAATAGTACTAATACTAACAATCTGACATCTATAACCGCCATATATAAATTTCTATTAGCGGTCACGAATTCGGGATCCGCTGAAACAAATTGCTTTTCTTTGATGACTAATTTGCGTAGAGCATGATTTCTGGGTTTTGAAAATACAAACTTTTAGCAAAATTAAACAGTGTTTTCCTATAATTACTCACATTAACTTCAGGGGCCAGTCATTAAAGTCAGCAATACGAAGCAAATAGTCCACTAATGTGTCAGTTTTAGACGGGACCATATCATTTCCCCGACATTTTTTTTCTTCGACAATTATTTCACCTACATCACATCAAGTGATAATTAATCAGATCATAATGAAATCTGATAATAATGAATTTAGATTATTTTATGTCCGATTTTTAAAATTTTTGAGGTCGTTTTTGTTAGGTTTTTAATCAAGACCCCTAAATTTCACAATGATAATGATATGGTCCCGTTTTAGACTCCATCGTGCCTATTACCACCTTTTCATTCATCACAACATCGTGTATTTTATTATGGAACGTTTTGACTCGATTATTTGAAACCTTATCAAGCTTATTAACTTGAAAATCTGCTCTTGAGACCTCACGGCGGTTGATTTTTGGGAAGGAAATATTCTTTTGGTAATGTGACGATATGTGAATTGATTTTTAGTTTCGATTAACGAGGCGTAGATAAAAAACGTACCAGGATCTTTGGTAGTCTGTCTGGAAGTTCACTCTCAGTAATTCAACATCATTTCGTATGAAGTCTAATGCTAATTTAGCTGTAATTTTAATCCTTGTGGAAAATAGCTTAGGAAAGAAGAAGACTGAAGAACGAGACCTCACAACTTGATGGAATAATAGGAACAGCATAAATAAAGTGGAATTGTGATCGCGTTATTTATAAAACTTAAATTTTTGACATATATTACGTAATATCGAGTTGATATAAAGGTTGTCCACCAACTTATTTTAGGCATTCTCAAGCAACACCCTCAATGTGATTTGAGATGTTGTTCAATCATTGCAATTAATTAAAGTAATTTATTGCGATTAATTGAAGAGTTTCTTGTAACGATACGATATGCTGAAAATTTATTACGCAAAATGCGGATTTTAAGGATGTTATAAATCAATGGATCAGAGTTCAGTTTTTAGTGAAAAATAATTTAGCTCGCAATAAAAAAAAAAAAAAAAAAAGGATAATTGTAAAATTTAATTAGTCGAAATTCGAATAAACAAATCAAAGAGAGTTAACATTTTGATGAATAAAAATTTCTTTTTTTTCAGAGTTTATTCTGATCGACTAAATTTAAAATCCTTCATTCGTACAATGAATTTTTAGCATATCGTTATTAAATTTAAAATCCTTCATTCGTACAATGAATTTTTAGCATATCGTTATCAGTGTTTAAAATTGGCATACACAAGGTGCACATGTGCAAGAATTTTTTTTAATGTGCAAGAATTTATAAACAAAAAATTGCACAGTGTGCAAGAAAAATTTGAGATTTTTATATATGTTTTTTTTTTCTTTTTTCTGCAACTGAATTTTAAACACTGATCGTTACCATTTTAATCGTAATAACCACGGTAATGATTGAACAACATCTCAAATCACTTTCAAATCACAATGAGGGAGCTGTTTGAGAAAGCCCTTACTATCTGCATTTCGCATCATGATCTTTCGTAAAATTGATATGCTCTCGATTATTATCTAATCACATTGAGGGAGTTGCTTGAGAACACCCTAAATTTTAGCCAATCAGCGCAGCTCTTAGCCAATCAAAATTCTTTTTTGATCAGCCAATGAAATCAATGCTTTGATTTCCGAAAGCAGAGTTGTTTTGAATTAATTTAAGACGACGTGTCTGTGTGTCGTAATCATGTTAGTTTTGATATAAAACTAGTGATATTTAAAAAACAGGGTGTTTTTTTTTTTACAATTGTATGATAGAAATTCAAAATTGGAAATTATTATTTAATTTGTTTTCTTAAAACCTTGGATGTTTACTTATATTGATTTTCATACATAAAATATACATAATTTTATCGATGCAAAAAAATGAATTGCATCTTTACATATGGGATTAACTTTGTAAAAAAAGTATATGATGACAATTATTAGTGAAAAAAAAGAAACAACGATAATGCGGCATAAAATTGTACTTTTCTTATAGTCTTATCAACTATTAATTAATATTATTATTATTAAAAAAAAGAAATGTATTATTAGTACAGTAATGATTAATGAAATTTAACTATTAGAAACAATGTATAAAAAATATTTAATTACCTTGTGAATAAGGTCACAATAAAAATCATCATATTTCGAAAATTCAACTAATCACGATTTTTTTTTTTTTTATCACTTTGACGGCGGCCGAACGTTTTTTTTTTTTTTTAATCACATTCACATTTAAATCCTCATGAAGTCCATTTTCCATCACTACGAATTAATGAAACAATCATATATCCAAGCACAGCTAAAACTATCATGATATTACAAATACATCGTTTAGCCCATGTTCTATAAGAAGGATCTTTTGAAAACAGATAACAAGCACCAATAAACCAAAATGGTAAAAATATAAAACCATAAATATAAAAATTTTTAATTAATAGAGTATTCTCTTGTGGTTGAATAGGTTCAATTATTTGAAAAGGGTCAATATGTTGATTAGGTGTTATTATTATAGTCGTTATTAACTGGCTTTCTTCATTAATAATTGGATTATATACGGGTGGCATATCCCGTATCGCTGAATAGTAAGAGGGCAAGTATTCACGATGGGAATCACGTAAATCATAAGAAAGTGTAGACATTCTGGTGGTTAATGATGGAGTTGTAGAAGGATATTCAATGTTTGTTAATGGACCTTGAAGTGGATGAGCTAATATTGTTGATGAAACTTGTAGTGAATGGGTTAAAATAGGAATTGGTTCTCGGGGTGGGTATGTGAGAGCAGGAGATAGTTCTTGAAGTGGAAGTGAATCTTGAGACTCTTGAAGTGGAGGAGTCTCTCGGGATTCCTGAAGTGAGTCAGTTTCTCGGAACTCTTGAAGATGTGATTCTTGAAGAGGAAGTGAATCTTGGGACTCTTGAAGTGGAGGAGTCTCTCGGGATTCCTGAAGTGAGTGAGTTTCTCGGAACTCTTGAAGATGTAATTCTTGAAGAGAATGTGACTCTTGAGGGGAATGTGACTCTTGAAGGGAATGTGATTCCTGAAAGGGATGTGACTCCTGAAGGAGGTTTAACACTTGAAGTGAACGTGGCGAATGTGATTCTTGAGGTGAATGTGACTCCTGAAATGGATGAGTAATGGTCGAAACAATTATACGGATGTCATGAGAATCCATTAGTACGCTTTT